CTCTTTCATAGAAAAATTTAGCCCAGAACTTTCCCATAAATTTTCCCAAATTTAGCCCATACTTTCCCAGCAATAACCAAAGTGAGAGGAATCTAGCAGCAATAAACCAGTATGGCAGCTTTGAATGAACTAACTTGGCTACTAGAAACATTCTGCATTGTAGTGCTACACTGCACAGCACAGAAATATGCGAAGGAATACTCACTGAGAACATTGGTTTTTTCTTTTGATAACATGTATTCACATAGACAAAAATATTTGCTAGTACGTATTGAGTACATATCTTTAAACATTTAGAATATTTCCACCAAAGCATTTAGTAGATTCCTATTTCCTAAATAAATGCTCTTCTTTCAAGAAAAAAAAAAAAGTAAATCCCATTAAAAGATGTTTCTACCTTTCTCTTTCTTCACCAGTTTCATCCAAGACCCATGCATAGGCAAACGAAGCTTTGCCAGCCTTCTTAGATTCCTGTTCGTATTTGTGCATAGTTCTTTTGTTCACATTTCCCAAAAGGTAGAGCAGATGACCCATTAAAGTACTTTTACCTGCATCAACATGTCCTACAGAAGGAAATAAATATTATATCAATTGTCTCAATTTATGCATTTTAAATACAGTACAAGAAATACACTAAAATGTATGAAAATAACATGCAATACTAATGTTTATGCAATCCATAGGATTTCACAGTCCTGTAAGATAAGAGATATAGACACAATTTACTGAAACAGTGTGACAGCCACACAGCACCTCCAAATCCATACTAAAAGAACCACATTGCCAGAATGAAACCAAACAAAAAAATACTTTTTACTATGCTGTCAAAAGGAAGCTAAGTCAACCTTACTGTCCTAGTCAAGGACATGTTAATACGCTCCCTCCAAAGAATAAGAGTCAAGCAGATGCAACTGAAAACAGTATGAGATTCCCCTTCCCTGGAGAGAGGGCAGTTTTCTTCTGTATCACTTCCAGATTCAACCAATACAGCTTTTAATCTCTATATTTGCCAAAAACACAATGTAACAATTATTACCTATTACCACCAAATTAAGCAGTTGCTTTCCTCCTTGTCTCTTCTCCAACTCTGCTTTCACATCTATTTGTGGTTTTGTCTTGCTTGACTTTTTTACTGGAGTAGGCACCGTATTCTGCTCTTCTGAAACCTGCACTACTTGGGGCGCAAGAGTAGATTTTGAAACTGCCTCAAGTACCCCAGAAGCTACACTGGCATCTTCACTTAACAGTCCTCTCTGAGGTGTGTTAGCATGGCCATTTTCTTCAGCAATCACACTAGGGAAATAAAGAAAACACAAGGAATGCAAATGACAAAGAAGCCGTGGAAACGTAGGAGACAAATCGCATTTTGCCTTCATGTAAGTCCCAAAGAGAATGTGATAAGCCCATTAAGGTGGAAACGATAGGCAGCTGGATACAAACTGCACAGATATCAGCTCTGAATATCTTGTCTGCAAAATGTACAAAAGCAAGATAAGACATAATCTTGTAAAATACATGAAACATATAAACAAAAGCTTCCCACAGCTACTTCTTTTAACAGGGAAGGAAAGGCCAGTTGTGCAGAACAACTACAGACAGCTGGTCATCTCTGAAGTAAGAGCTCAAGTCAATTTTGAAGCACCAATCCTAGAACAGCTTCCACATGTACCACAAATATTGCAGCTGAATGCAGCTAAATGCAGCTATGTTCTATTGTGAGAAAATCAATATAGCATGAGAGCAGACACTAAGCATGTACAAGCTGCAATTTAAGGTGCAATGCTTATACAGAGCCATAGCAGATGAACTACATTTATCAACAGTGAGAAAATTTGTTTTATACATAAAACAAGGTTATCTATGACTAAGGAGATTTGCATTCCCCAAATCCTCTTCTCTAACAACCTGTTCTCCCACAGGTCATCTTATTAGTCCTAATAGTAAATAATCCTACATAATCCTACATTTTTCTCATACACTTATTCTTTTTCTCTCTGATTTGTAAATGAGGTTATTTTCCTATCTTAGACAAGTGTCCTGAGAACATACAGTATGATTCCTCACCTGTTATGGCCAAGCTGACTACTAAAAACAAATGCTAACTAGTATCTTTAAGAGAGCAAAGGGTTGTGTTTTTTTACTCCCTGACAGAGCTCCATGATGAAGCATTAATGTAAGCAGCAAGACAGGAACAGAAGCAGGTATTACAAATGTGACAATGTTACGTCATGGTAAATTTCAATTTACAAAACACTGATCATTACAGTATATTGAATATATCTACAAAATACTGTATTTAAAACTTTAGTCAAGGAGAAGAAACTTCTCCCTCCGGAAAGCTAAAGATCCTTTCCAAAGCAGTACCACAGTGCTGCAGGCTGTTTTCCACGGAATGGATTCATGCTGGCTCTCAGTCTCAAGTGTCTCCATGTCCAACATAAACTTTTCACTCCACTTTCTGTTTCTGTACCACAATCAACAACCCAGTTTTCCTCTTTTCAAATTCTATGAACAAAAGTACTTATTTGGGTACTTCAAAAGTCCCACCTTGTGACATCTCTGCTTTTACTTCACAAAGAGGGTAGATTTAGATTTTAGATATTAGGAAGAAATTCTTTTCTGTGAGTGTGGGGAGACACTGGAACAGGTTGCCCAGAGAAGCTGTGGATGCCTCATCTCTGGAAGTGTTCAAGGCCAGGTTGGATGGGGCTTTGAGAAATCTGGTCTAGCAGGAGGCGTCCCTGTTGCCCATGGCAGGAGGGTTAGAAGTAGGTGATCATTAAGATCCCTGCCAACCCAAACCATTCTATGATTCTACGACTACTTCTTATTTTCTGTCTGCATAGAAGTATTTGCATTGTATCAGTCCCTTTCCATTACAAATACCTCAGGAAATAATATAGTCCAAGCATGTTAGTCTACTGAATAAAGCAGTTCAAGAGTTACGATCTAAAAAATTAAACCTAAGAAATGTTCACACTGAATGCAAAATTAGCCTCATTATAGCACTTACAGGTCTCCCTTTTTCCTCCTCCATTTTATAACCCACCTATGTAATTGGTACTGCAGGAGATTGACTGATTTTGACACCTCTTTTACAAGGTCCAAAGCCCAGGTTTTCTCATGTCTGTAGTATCCCAAAGCAGAAATGTGAGCACTTGGGGTTTTTAGCTACAGTTCCACATCCCAAGCCCAGGGTCTTGCATTAAGGCTGGACACACAAGCACGTATTTCTCATATTAGATAAACAAAGAACTCAAGTTCATGCCGGCCATGTTGGTTGCAGGGGCACAGATGGTACCTGCGCTCCTGCATAATGGATAGATAATTCTGTATAAAGTTTGCAAGAACTTATCCTTTCTAATTATTCTAAACCACTTGAAGGAGAAGGGTAAGTTTATATCGAACTACTGCCCAAGGTCACACCATCATGGTATTTTCAATTTGACACAAAAAAACACCTGTACTGTGTCACCAAGTATAGATTAGCCAAGCTCCAGTTACTTGTGCTTTCTTTTACTGGAAAAGATAAGTCTGTTTCTGTAAGCCTGAACAGAAGGCTCTACTTTTAAAAATACCTTAAATAGTACATTCAGTTCAAGCTGAAAATCTGCTCTAGAATGGCACAAGAACTATTTTCAATGTCTCTTCAGGGACAATTTATTTCACAAAAATTGACAGAAACAATCAAGTTGATAGAAGGCAATTATGCAGAGAATTGCAGTGACAAAGCTTTCTACATATTTTAATAATGTATTTTAAATCATCTGAATGATCTGAGATATGCCAGATCATTTTTGCCTGAATCTAACATCTAACACTTTCACACTGAAGTACTATGTGTACTATGAAGTACTATGACTAGTACCAATATGTAAAGGTCACATCATGATACAAATACAGTATTTTACATTGGTATCAAGTTTTCTTCCTTGAAATTCTAATATTTGAAGTTCTGCAGAGAAATATATGTATAAGAAGCCACATCAAACCAGCCTTTGCAGTTGGCAATAGCTTTGTCTTCTTTTGAATGTCTGAATTTCTTCCAAAACTGTATTTTCAAAACTGAAGAAAAATAGGAAGATACTCAGATGAAGCTGCAAGCCATGCAACACAAAATCATAACTCTCCTGTTTTTCTACAGCTTTTCAAAATATACTCAAAGACTGTCACATCAAGGTCATTAAAAAGCCAAAAACATATTTTAAAAGACAGGTCATATGTAAGCTTCCAAATTCTATTTCGTTTAGCCAGATAATGATTTATTTATTTTTTCTAATCCCAGATGCACAGATCTTCTTGCAGGCCAAAGCCTACATCAGTAAGGATTCCAAAATGGAGGATGGATAGCAAGTAGTAGATTTCAGTCTAATTACAGCACCTCTAAGAATTATGGATACTGTCAGATAAAGTAACCATTCCCTCAATTTCAAGTAGCTTTTATTGTGACTACCAGTGCTTAAGGTTGCCAAATAGTTTTTGTTTTGGGTGGTGCAAAGCAAAACTGTCAGATACAAGTGAAATGATGATGAGATGTGACTCCAGCCATCATAACATTACGCCGTTCTACTTTTCAAGGGTGAAATATTTGAATAGTCAGCTCCATTTAGTTTTACAGGTTTCAGATACTACCCTGTTTTGTAAACCTTAAAAAAACCTGTGCCATGATAAATCAAGACTTGCCATTTCAGAGAAGAAACATGAGAATGCATAGAGTGTTATCTACTTACAGAGCATCTGCGATGAGATAATTCAGTTTTGCTGACCAATGTCAGGGAAAGGGAGAGCAAGTTTACTGCTAGGTACCTAAACAGGAAGATGGACGGATGAAATGTATAATTCCAGTCTCACAGAAGTACATGAAGAGAGATGCAGCAATAAGACCCTGACAGTTAGTTATTTGTCACGGCAACCAGACGAGTAGTTTACTGAAAGGTTGATAATAGCTCAGAAAAATGCTACGGAGATTCACCTCTAACAGTCAATGGGAGAATAAATGACATTGAATATGCTCTTCAGTAAGCCTTTTCCACTAAGATTTTTTTAAAGTTATTGAACTGAAAATTTCTGTCAGAAGACAGAGCATACAGGATGGCGTACTAGCACTTAGTGTGTCACTAGTGCAGGTAGTTGAGGGTATGAACAAGTCAACTGCATCAGCAAACACCTTCTGTAGCAAAGTCCAACTTGGTTTCAATTCCACTGAATCACCACGTCAAAAAAACGTTGTATTTGGAAGAAGTGCACTTCCTAACCAATTGCTTCCATCTTTATATGAGAACTTGATGGAACTACCAAGAGTGGTCTCACCGTACCAATATCTGTACCTGTCTGTCACATCACTGTTGATGGCTAACACAGAGCCATTGACTAAGCAACTCTTGACTTCTTTGAAAGGACGGAATGATTACGCACCTTCAACGTGCACTGTGGTCACAAACTCAGGAAAGCTTGACCGCCAGCAATTCAGCACAAATGTCAAAAGAACTTACCACAGCTTTTTGTTAGGATATCAGTCAGTATACAAAAGGCTGCCAAGAACCAACATTTAGTCAAAATTAAAACTGCCAAGCTAGAAATTTCCTATGTTGTCTTGCCAACAAGGACCACAAGAGTAAACTGAGTGAAACATTATGGCAATATCACTGTTTTCTGAGAAAAATTAAGAAATACAACATATGTTGTTAAAAGACATGTTAGAATACACTCAATCTCACACAACTGTTTAAAGGTTCACACTACGATGCATTTGAAGAAGAACCTGAAAGCTTATCTGTTGAAGATTAACTCTGCATAATTTAGCTTTTATACACTATTTTCAATCTTCTAGTCCGGACATTTAGTGAATTATTTTTATACAACCGACTCTTTCGGAGTACTTACAGTCATTACAGGAACGTCTACATTTATTTCCCCTTTCAAAATTATTAATTACACAATATTGGTCTAGCTTGTTAAAATAATCACCGTTTTTTGCTCACAACTTCATCTGACTTCCTTCATGATCTAACAGGAAGAAAAAGCCTGGTATATGGTTTTGCTAGAGAATCAGAAAAACAATTTGTCAGAAGCAAGCAAACTCCATTTTTTGTAGAAAATCCCACTTAGAATACCCAGCAACCAAGGCAATCAATGCTCAAAGCAATTAATGACTTGTAATAATACATTGATTTTAAGTAAGATTCACTTATGTATTATGAGGTCATACCTCATAACAATGACTGAACAATAAAGACTGAATGGTCATTTTTGCTCATGTTAGGCCATTGCTTTTAAAAAGATGGTGCACAAATTACCTTTAACATCCCATAAAAGGCAACAACAAAAACTAATACTATAAAATCAATTTCTACTGGTGTCTGCAGCAACACCATACAAATATTTGGGGGAAGAAAGCAGGGGGCACAGTTACATGTGTTTTAGAATCCAAACTGCTATGAATAATTTACAACACTGTGTTTTTGGTCAGTGATACAAACTGTATATAAATCTATATTATTATAAACCCTCTGCAATTCATTTACCAGCGCAACGGTAACATAAAAAGGGTCTGGAAAGAATCAAAAGAACAAGTCTTCTTAGGAGTTAAGAAACACAGATTCATTCTGTTCCCTAAAATCTCATCCTTATGCTGTCAATAATCCAGAAAATAACTGCAGAATTAAAACCAACTCTGATACTCGTGGAGTTGAGGGAGTGGTTCATATTTTACTTTGGTTTTCAGGTTTAGATGGATGCGTACAAAGTCATTACAAGCTTGCAAGACAATGCTACTGCTTCAGCTAAGCACTATGCAAAGACTGTGGAAAGGAGCTAGTTAAGCTCCAATAGCTAGGAAAAGAATCAGGAAAGTAACCGCCACTGTCCTACAACAGAGAAGGAAAAGCACAATGGAAATACAATCAAGATCTCCCTCATTCTTCATATCAAGGACCTAGTGACTTGGCAGTGCCTCCACAGCAGCCTGTAGCACAAAAGAAGAAAGGCAGCCATTATGAACCCCTTGAAGCAGGGGTCTTTAGACACACAGATAACGTCACAATTTAAACTGCACCTTCTTTCATATTCATTCTGTGCTCTAAATCTCATGCTCTTTTACAACTCGCTGCACTTCTTGCCTCATCTTCCCACTTAATGCTAAACGCCTAATGCGTATCCGATTTCTACAGCAAAAGAGGCTTGTTCTCAATCAGTATTTCAGTGGTACCACTAAGTGAGGTGAATTAAAAACTATCTTCACAACAGTGAGGATTTATCTAAAGGGATTGCCAACGAGTCCTGAAAGCTTAATATTTTCTGTCACAAAAACCAGTATGTCACTAAACTAGAATCAAGCACAATGTGAACTATTTCAGGGTGTCTGAAGAGAAGCAGAGTGGCTAAGAATCATGTCAGAGCCAAATAACTTTCCTCAGATATCAAGTTATCACTAGCCTATCCAGTAATTACTTCAGTCTACAGATGAGGAAATATTCTTTGTATATACTTCTCTATAAAGCAGGCACACATACAAAAGATGTGGCATCTGCTAAACAAGTATCAGATACAAAATGCTGCATTTGCTCTTTTTTATAAACAAAGATTTTAGATAGTAATTATTACAGCTAAAATATTCAATCGCTATTGTCCACAACTAGCTGACAGACCGTTTTCAGTCACTTAGGATTCTTTTCTTTCTATAAACTTCTATCCAAATGAATTTAATCCACAAATGTCCCCATGAACCACAGAATCACCTATATTGGAAAAGACCTTTTAAGATCACCACGTCCAAATATAAGCTGACAAGTCCTTGACTAAACCATACCCCTAAGCACTGTGTCTACCCAACTCTTAAATACCTCTGGGGTAGGGGACGCCACCGCTGCCCTAGACAACCTGTTCCAATGCCTGATAACCCCTTCAGTAAAGAAATTCTTCCTAATATCCAACCTAAATCTCCCTTGGCACAATTGGAGGACACTTCCTCTTGTCCTATCACTTGTTACTTGGTTGAACAGACCAGTAGGTGTAGAGAACGATAAGGTCTCCCTTGAGCCTCCTTTTGTCAAGACTAAATAATCCTAGTGCTCTCAGATGCTCCTCATAAGACACGTGCTTTAGATCCCTCACCAGCTTTGTTGCCCTTCTCTGGACATGCTCTAGTACCTCAAAGTCCTTCTTGTAGTGAGGGGCCCAAAACTGAACACATGACTTGAGACGAGGCCTCACCAGTGCTGAGTACAGGGGTAAAATCACTGCCCTGGTCATACTGGCCACACTGGCATTTCTGATACAGGCCAGGATGCCAAAGCGCAGAAACTGGCATTTAGCCTTAATGAAACTCATTCAACTTATTAAAGGTGTAGTAGGAACACCAGAGATGAAAGTGCCATGATGTTGATCAGACTTTTGTGATCAAGTCCAGTTGTCACACCCAGAGTCACTGATTAGTAAAGGTAAGGGGAGGAGATAAAAAAAATGTTCCCTTTTCTATACTGCAAATCTCAAACAGCATAGAATTTTGAAATGCTCTGAAATTTTTGAAATTTTTCATTTGATGCTTATTGTATCTAAGTAGCTGAATCAAAGTTATATCTTTTAGCAATGACATTCAGCAGTATAAAGGGAATAAAGACATTAGCTTCACATCCTTTATTAAATGTGCTTAAGATACTAAGTAGATGCAACCACTTGCCTTCCACTCAGTAATCAAACATGCAGAAGTTATTGTAAAATAAAGACCATGCTGCCCTCTTACTCTCCCAAAATGCTTTCCAGATCAGAACTACAAATACTGCAGGATGAAGTGAGGATGTTGGCACTGCTTATGCTTGCCATTTTTTTTTCCTGAGGGTGAACTATGAAATTCCTTGCCACAGATTACGTGGCTATTATAAGATTGGGTTCAAAACCAGAAGAAGTACATCCAGTAAATAGAAAAATCCATTAACTATTCTTAGTGGAAACAGCCTAATTAAAAATAAACAAATAAATAGTGGTGTGGAGCCACAGAACACTACACGTCATGTGATTTCATGGACTGTATTCCTAACACACATGCCTTGTCCTTATATATTTCTTCAAGTATTCACTGCTGGCTACTGTTGTAGGTAGACTGATGACAATCCAGATGTCTGTTTTCACACTGTCGCAAGACATCCACCACAACAGTTCCAAGTCAGGATAAAATGAGAACTGCTCAACCACTCTAATTTAGCTAAAGCATATTGAGGACTGATTTCTTCTCTACAACAGTTGTACCCTGAACACCTGTTAAAGTTAATAAAAGCTGCAGAGGAAGGTAAAGTTTAGCTGTAAGTGATTGTTTCCCCATAAATTATTCTTAAATGTCTTATTTCCTTTGAAGAACAAGCAATTACAGTTAAGATTTATTGATTTCATAATTCCACTTAGAGAACTAAATTTAAAATAAACGAACACCAAGAAGTTCAGTATTCTATGAAGCGGATGTTTAAATAATCTGACTATCTGATATCTCTCTGCACGATTCATAGTGAAAGGATTTGTTAAACTCAAAACGTGAGGTACCAACTTCTGAAAGTAATTTTGAGTCAAACAAAAAGCTGAGATGGTTAGTTCTGAAGAGTGACACTAAAACTGCTGTAAAAAATAGAAAAAAAGAAGAAGACAGCTTGCTACAGGTGCATCAGTCTGAAAGAAGAGCTGCTGATGTACCTTGATGTATGAGGGCTTGGCTTACCATGGAACTTCAAATCCCATAGACTGTTTCTTTCCAGACACTGTCATTCTGGTAATTTTTGGCACAATTTCAGATTCCATTCTGGATGACTGGGAATCCCTTGTTTTTCCTAGTAATAGACAAAAAGTAAGTTTGAACTTAATGTTGTAGCTAACAGCTGTTAAATATAAAGTTTAACAAGTTACATCTCTTCAACCCAAAGATACCAGTCTGTGATGATAAATTCTCACACTTCAGTGCCTTACTTGCATATACTACATATTTATTTGAAATAATGTACAGACAGTAATATTTATTGTGAAAATCTCATATGTATCTCCAAGTATTCACATGACACCTACACCACTCAAAATCTTCACTCACAGCAGTTCTGCAGACGCCAGAAGCATCGCATGCAATATGAGGATGAAGAAATGCTTTGCAGCTGCTCACTAGCTAATTAAGTTAATTCTTATTCAGAGTTTTCCTTTTGCTTAACACTGCAGAGCCTCAAGGCTATTTTAACGCGACTACCTCAGGTACTGCTAGCAGCAGCACAAGCTATGTGTGGGCTACCAGGCCTTCCCTGAAACTTGCAGAGTTGTCTCATTCTGAACTATGCTGCAGAAGCCAAGCAATACCCAAAAGCTAGTTAATTTAAAGGTTATTTAGAAATAATTACCAGAGTTGAATAACTTAATTACTTTGAAGGTATTAATTTTTACCATAACTTAAATGAAAATACAATTAATTACAGTAAGGTTCATTCTTAATTTTGTCAAACTAGTTTCACAACTAGTAACACTGCAGTACTATTAATTTCTTACGAAGCTGTAAAAAAAAATTAAATAATTATTTACTCCAGGGAGGGGCAATCTAAATTAAAGAAGTTAGCTCTTTTCTTTCCACAATTCCCTCTTTAGTATTTGAGGATCGCTTCTTCCTTCAAGGCTGTATTCTTCCAGTAATAGACCAATTCGGATAGTCAGTCAAGTGAATACTTATTTTGAACAAGTTAATCTTTTAAGTATTTGAGACTACTACTGTATGATGAACTGTTGAAGGAATTTAGTCCTACCCATTCAGATTATTGTGTTAACCTTTTATTGTGTTCTAAAGTACGACAGATTCACCTTAAAACCACAGAATTATATTGATTTGCAAGTTCTATGTAAAGTTGTGGTCAGGGTTGATGAAGATTTCAGGTAAGGAAAAAGAATACCACAGGCATGTCTATAATAGACACACCTCTATAATAGACAGCATATGAAAAAAACCAAAACAGTTGTGCAACTTTTTCTAAACCATCACAATATAGATTAAGATATTTAACTGATTACTCGGTCTTCATCTCCCTTATTTGTCTTAGCTGCTGATATGTATTTTATTTATACACCACCTGGAGATTGCTGAAAGAAGTAGTATGTATGTGCATAATTAACAGTTGCATATCAAGTACACTGTAAATAAGGAAAACCAGCAAAAAACATGGTTTACAATAACCACAAATTACATAATTGACAAACAAACAGTAAAGATTCAGAATATAAAATTTTCAGATCACAGGACAAGGAACACTAGTTAAGTACAAAGATTTTGTTTCATGTTCAAGCTCCTACATAGATCACTTTAATTAGCAGTTAATCACCTCAGTTACAATAGAAGTTTCATTATTTTTGTTGCCAACTTGGTATGGGGGATTTTTTAACCTACTTCAACTTAACAGTTTTCAAGCAGCCATCACTTTCAACTGTTAGTTAAACATGAATGCTCCACATGTTACTTGAAAGCTGAATTACAGTTAATTCTCAGAAAATACTATGTTTGAAATCTAGCTGCTAGGAACTAATAACTACAAAAAACAATTAAATTGAAATGAGATTAGTTGAAAGAAAACAAGATGACAATTCATATCATGTAACTTGAAAATAACTAGCCATCTATTACCAATATTTGCCACATATGATCCAATATCAGAAGTCGAAGGTTTTACAAAATGCACCTTCTCTAATCAATTTAGAAATTAAGCTTCACTCTGTACAAATACTGTTGGGGTGTTTGACGCTGATGCAAAATTAAATGTACAAGGAGACAAAACACAATCAATGAACTCAGTACTTGACATAGAAATCACAGAATTTTAAAACTAGAGATCAGGAAATACTAGAAGTTGAAAGAAGATACAAAAATAAAACTAAAAAGAGCAAGCAAAAGTAATTATCCATCAACAGCACTGACAGTTTGGGCAGCTTTTTTCTTTATTTAGTTATTTTTATAAAGCATTAATACTTCAGCATAGATAGAGCAAGGAAGCAGAAGACCAGGATCATATAAAAAAAAAAAGCCAAATCATAGGAGATAACCCTGGAATGGTGGCATTCAAATAGACGCAGAGACAAAGAAAGAATTATTAGTAACACTACTTAGAGAATCAAATATAATTTTCTGACTTGAATGTTTTTATAACTAAGTATTATAAAATCAAGCGGCACATTTGAGGTAAGGGCTAAGTCTGTCTTTTGTGTTCTGCCGGTGCCATTAAAGATTAACGATTATGGGCTTCATTACAAAGGACATAAGGTCAGGAAAGGAGTATACCTATCTAATCTATAGGGCACAGGAGAAAACTGCATGATAATCTCTTTATCTGCTTTAGCAGGCAAAGCAAAAGCTATTAAGCACTTAACAGATCCTACATAAATCCTTAAACCGCACCTTGGAACTAAAAGGAAGTCAATGCACTATGCAGATACAGTTCTTAAAACACTTCTTAATAGCCAAGCAGGGTATCTCTATGGCAACTGAAGTGCACCACAAACCTGGAAAAAGTACAGGCAATAATCCAAATCTGACTAGGACAAGAGCAGCTGTGAGAAAAATTAACCTCCGAAGGGAAAGGACGTAAATGATAAACAAAGTTTTGCCAAGAAAGCTTTCAAAAAGGTCTTCATGCCTACTGTCATTTGGACATTCTTAAAACACATACTGGAGTAAGTCAATAACAATGTTTCCTACATGAAGAGTACGCATAAAATAATGATAGATACATCTTTCATAAACTCCTATGGAAGCCCCAATACCTCCTTGCTACATTTCACTACTCTAGCATTGCAAAAAGCAGAGTGCATCACATGTACATAAATTTGACACTACTGGCCAAGGGTGTCAAACCACAGAGCAAGAGATTTTACTGCAGAAGACACTTCATAAAAATTTTGGCTATTCACCAGCTTAACAATAGGAAAAATGAAAGAAATTGTCCTTCCGTGAAAACAGAAAGTATACATTCATAAATTATGAAAACGTAAAGGCTTATCAGCATGACAGTTCTTGAAATTCAGAATGTTTAAAAGCCAAAACTTCTAGCCTGTTTTAAGCAAAGGAGATTGCAGATAGATATTTGGTATTTAGACTGCACTAAGATCAGAGTTCCTAAAGCATACCGTTGCTGAGTCAAAGACTACTATGATAAAACACATGCAATAATACACCTTGTCTCAGTATTAAAACAGGATGAGCCTAATACCAAAGGGAACAAACAGACCTGCATTGCTGCTACTCCAGTACAACTACGGCAGCGTGTGACAACTTCACAAGCAAAGCTCTCGTGCCTTTACTATTCTTCTCTTTGCTTCTATCTTTCCTGCGACTGTCAGGTGATTTTCTGACCTGATTTAGTCAAAAAGTATTACTAATGACACCTGCTGTAACTTCAAAATTATTAAAGGTAAAACTCCAAAATCTGAGACTATTTGCAGACTAATAAACAGGACATAGGCACGCATATATATTTATATATATACACACATACACACACACACACACATATATATACACACACATATATATACACACACATATGTATGCATATATATATACACACACATATGTGCACAAGGAGCATCTTTAAATACGAAAATAGTCTCTCTGAGTGTTCAATCTGGAATACCATAAGTGTATGGATACAGTTAAACTACCTCCTTTACCATAAGCAACTCCCTAGATTTTGTATTTCCCTTGTAAAAACAGTTGTAAGGAGTACCTGTAAAAGATTTAAACAGATCAAAACATTATTTTGGCTTCTTTACCCCACATAACAGGATTGAGAACCTCTTATTTCAGCTTTTGCTCGTTTATATACTTACACTGAAAGTTGCATGAAGATGGAAATTGGCCTTTTCTCTGTTAGAGGTACGGAAGTTATATTTCAGTATTTGGAAGAGCTCATTGCCAGTCTACTCTGTTCCCAGGCAGTTTAGAGGTGCATTAAAACAACAAGGGTCTGCAACCACCATCTCAAGGCATACATGTTGACATCAAGTGAAGTAAGGATATTGGCATATTTACAGAAATGCATTCTAACACTGGGTATTTAAATCCACACAGCCTTCATTCAGATGGCCGTATTTTTTCAGCAATAAAATCAAAATGCCACTGTTTTTGATTCCTATACACACAGGCTTCTCCCAGTTTGTTTTCCTCTCATCAAATTGTGAAATCACACTGAAACTTTAAGCTCAACTACACCTCTGCACAGAGAAGTCTGCTTCTGATAGGATGAACAAGAATTTTTAATATGCCTGAATTCAGATGGAAAAATAAGAAAGGAGGAATGTCAATGGGTTAGGCATGTATTTTTCAGATGGCAATCCCACTTAAATAAACTCGTTTCTACACACAGAACAACTACTAGCAGTGTATCACCACTGGCAAAGGAATGCACCTTCAAGGGAATTACATGCTAATTAACTGTGGCCAGATTGCAGTTAATTTTTCTTTAAGGTTTTAAGACCTTTACATGCTTTTGAAATTTTTACTGGGTTTATATTGATACTTCTATTTTCAAAAGTGGTATAAGGTGGCTGCATACTATTTCAATTCTGAATGGAGCTGGGAGCTTAGACACTATTGACATTTAATAGATGGAATTAATTTACTTAAACACGTCCCTCTTGGCGCTGTGTAAACCATCACATGGAAAAACATACATG